TTCGGTACTGATATCGGTGTATGAGAACGCTTTGTACGCACGAATTCCGTATCCATTCTCGTTCTTTCTCGACCGGTAAAAAAACTTTAGAAAAAGCAGAAAAGCTCATTACACGCGGATATCGCATTTCTCGCTCGCAACTTCGAGAAACGCGACAAAATAATCCTCGAAACTTAGAATTGACTTCATTCAAACAATGTTACTTATTTATACGAAGTAAGAGAAATGTTTTGTATAAGACCACGTTTAGAGCAGGTTTCTCTCCGAAGTTATGATTTGAAACGATTCTTATCTTATAGATGAGACAATGCGCAAATACGCGTAATGCATCTTTGTTGAAAGTTTTAGATAACAACAACAGCGCGCGTAAGCTAGAATAAGTGTACACACACACACACACATATGTATTATAAATTTCAGTAAGTGGCAGTAATTTATTTCCATGTGAGATTAATGCAATAGAAAAAATCGTTTAAAAAGTATCTAAAATTATGTGTTATATATAACTGATCTTACTTATTTATTTAAATATAAATAATATATGCATTAAAATTGTATAATTTTAATTGTGTGTGTTTACATTTTTCTGTTAACTTTATGTGAGAGTCTAGCGTCTGTACGAGAAAACGCATTTTCTAGACGTAGAATTAATAATTCTCTTTCTTCGCGCACGCTTCTCAGTTGCTTAGTTTAAACTACGATTCCGTGACTGTTCGACCCACGCTGTGTCGTATTTTGATTAAAAGAGAACGCAACGCGCGCGCGTTTCACGCGATACAAGTCCCGTGGGGCGTACTTTCTGGCGTTTGGCTGGCAGTTCTCTTCTACGATATATCGCGTTTGTTTCTATTTGGTTGAATCATTCACGGTGCCAGCACGCGTGCGTTCGCGTCGGTCGGTCGGTCGGTCGGTCTCTGGAGCAAGTAAGCCAGAGTTGCGAGCAGAGCAGTGGTACAGCGGAGGTTCGAGCGCGGCTTGTTCCGACGCGCAACGTTTGCCAAGATCAATAGACGGGCCGCGAGCCGTCATCCCGGCGACAGAGAGCCCGCTGGTTTTGATCTCTCGCGCATGCGCTCTCTCGACTTTCCCCAAACCATGCTACATACCTCACCTCAACTTATATCCCGCACTGGCGATAACGCTCACAGCAAATCGGACGCAGAGCGACAATCGCGACGACAGACTACGAGCGCGCCGGAATTCGTGCGCCAAGCTGTGCGTTTACCTGTACTACTGTCGGGATTAAACGCCAGCTTGTCTGACGGTAACATCTTCATGCAGAGAGACCAATTGTGCGCGAAAAGCCAGGACACTAGCAACTTAGTTGCTGAACGACAGTAGAGCAAATTACAAAAATCTGTTTGCACATTCCTACCAATCAAAATAACATTGAATATTGTCTCTTTTATATTTAGATATTTTACATATATCTCTTTATCTTTTATCGTTTTTTTGCAGCACATATTGTATTTGCGAGAAAAAAGTATTTTCTGAATTCAGACAAGATAGTTATTGAAACATATTTCGAAACAAAATGAGATAAGCAGAAATATACACAAATCTCGATGTTGGTAGAGAATTATTGTCGAAGTTGTCGGATCATAGTGAAATATTGAAAATACGAAGAAGCGATATTTTGCATAACGAGAAATAAAAAAGAGACAAAATAAAGTAAAAAGACGTGTAAACGCAGCTAAAATAAAATACAATGCAATTTTTTTCTGTCTGAAATATATGAGAGATTTTGCATGTATTGTTAAAAAATATTTCTATATCAGACGAGCGTGTCTTACATTATTTCATGTAAATTTGAAAAAAATCAACTTTAATCAGATTATATATTCGTAAATTTGACTTAAAATTGCTCTAAATAAAGATAACACATATATTCGGTCTGGTTGCGTTACGCTCGCACGTGTAATGCGCATTATTTGCGCTCCAACAAACGTAAGGACCGGCGTCTCAATGTCGCATATATATACGCAAATACGCGCTCTTCGTGTTATTACTTACGTACATAGGGTCTGCTCAAATGCAAAAATATCATCGTCCACTCTTTTTAACGCGCATCGCCGCTGTTGCGCGTCAAAACGCGAAAAAGATACATGCCGCAACGGAAGAGAGAGATAAAGATAGATAGATAGAGAGAGAGAGAGATACGCGGTCGAATATTTTTCATAAAATAGCACGGAACATGCATCTGCAAATGGAACGTCTTTTGATGCGCTTCTTTTCGCATCTCTTTCATGTCGCTAGTATACACTCTCGGTGTTTTATACATTCGAACAATTCAATATGAAACCAACGCAATCGAAAGAGTACGTATCCGAAATGCGCATAGATAGTAACAATAATATCACATTGCTGTTTCATCTTTCATAAAAAACAAATGTCAAACGCTGATTCATTATTGCACGTAGTGTGTGATAACTCGCCAAAGTGATTTCTTACATAAGCTCTCACATTTGCAACTGTTACAATAGTCAAAATTTGAGTTAAACTTCAAATTGCTGGTTCATACGCGTTATTTTTTATCCCATGCGATTTTCACTTTTTTTTGTATCTGAAAAAATAGTTCGGCGGAAAAAATGTTTCAAGCAACAGTGAAGTCATTGATGTCGTAAGTAATTTTTTATTTTGGCTCACTACGTACGATAAGGCAGCGTTTGACATTCTTCTGAAAGATGAAACTTGTTAATGACAACAGCAATGTAATACTACAATGTAATAGTGCATGTGTGTGTAAACAGAAAATAAAGTATGTATATAGAAAAAAGAATAAATGAAAAGCGAACGAATTGCGATGACAAAATCGCGAATATTCAAAGAAGTGCGTTTCTCATTTTATCAAAAAGCAACAGTTTAATTAGACGCAGAATAATGAAAACTATTAAATCAAGCCGGATCACCGAAATAGCAGGCAGTGCAGACACGATAATCGTCGGTCGTTTCATATGGACAGGTGCGAGTGGATTCTTAATTAAAGAAGAAGAGATGAAAATGGAAGAACGACAATTAATTTTCTCGTTTGTCTTTCAACAATATGATATTGTTTAAGAAAACGAGAAAATATACTACGTACATATGTTGTTGTGTATAAAAGCATAATTATTAAATTCTTCAATAAATAATAGAAGTTAAAAATGTTTTATCTGGATATAAACTGTACGCAATTAATCTTACAAAATTCGTAAGATAGCGTAGTTGAAATTAAATTGCGCACGCGACTGTAGATTCCGCAATGCGATCCAATTTACGGTTATAATATAAATTATTGTAAAAATTATAAATATATAATATGTATATTACTGCGTACATGTGTCGAGGACAAAAATATATCAACGAAATCAAATGAAAAGGAAAGAGAAGTGGCTGCAGAAACGAGAACTACCTAAGTTAATGAGACAATCAGATAGGGTGACAACAGGCAATCAGGCAGTTGAAGTATTCTAACCTTGGCGGTGTGTCTCTGCAAGATACTACTACATTCAGAACGTCACAATGGTCATTATCTGAGTTAGATTGCGCGTCTGGAGAGAAAGAGAATAATCATAGCAGATCATATGTACTCGCAGATATTAGATTTTACAGAGAATTTGAAGAAAATAATATACATACGCACACATTTTATAAAAAAAAATATTAAAATCTCTTAGTTACTAAAAACATTTGGCAACGCGCTCTGAATTTCTGGAACAAAATTGATTATAAAATACGATCTCTTGCTGCGCATCGATATAATGCAGTAATAGAATTTAACGAGAGAGAGAGAGAGAGAGAGAGAGAGAGAGAGAGAGAGAGAGAAAGAGAGAGAGAGAGAGAAATGAGAAGTGATAGATGCAAGGTGACGAAAACTACTAGTTCATGAAACAATCAGGCAGACAGGGTGACAGCGAACGCAGGCACGACGCTAGTTGTCGGCTTAAAGCGACAGGTTAGGGTGGACGCGGGAGAAATGAGAGAGAGAGTGTGTGTGTGTGTGTGTTGGCGAAAAAAAGAGGAAAAACATAAAAGACGAGGGTGGGTAAAGCAGGTAGACAAGCAGGCAGAAAGGAAGGAATTGCGCGTGCGCGCTGAAACGGCCGGGCTAGACGCGAGAGCCGCCACTCCCGAGCGTGTAGCGGTGAACCGCGGGTGCTGACCGAGTGTCCCTGCGAGAAAATCTGAGAGAGAAAGAGAAAGAGGGAGAGAGAGAGAGAGAAAGAAAGGGTGAGGGGGTAAGAGTAAAGAGGACAACGAAGGCGACAGAAGCAGACGAGAAAAATGTCCCTCGCGAGAGGCAGGAGCCTGCGGAGACGGAGCTTATGGCAGGACACTGCCGGAAGTCGGAAGGCTCCGACTCTGTAGAACGCAGGACACAGGAAGCGTACAACCTCCAAGAGAGGATCTCGCCGCTATCTCCCTCCTCCGTCGCTCCCCCGTCCGAGTGTCGTCCCGGTGCTCTTTCCAGTTGAACACAGCGGAAATTCACGCAAACGCTATTCGAGGTGCCAAAAACAGAAAATAATAGCGGAAGATTGAGTTCCCGTGAAACAAAAGGAAAGACGAGAAAAAACTGAAGACAAGCGCGAGAAATTTCTCGATGTTGGCGAATTTTCATCGAACTGTTTCCGCGTTTCGTGCGGTCTCGCCGCGAATGACAAAACGCAAGGACGAGAACACACGCTCCGCAAACTGAAAGAAAAAGAAAAAAAAAAGCGCGTCCGTAGATTTAAGTGCCGTGAAATTGCGATCCGGTCTATATTTCGAGTGTTATCACCGGAAGAACGATCGTGAGTGATAGTGACAGGGAAGAACCGAAAACACAAAGGAGTTGTGAGGCAGAAAATTAGGTGAGAGAGCTTTGCAAGAGACGGAGAAATTTGGAGAAGAGGCATCAGACCACAGAGAGCACACGGAGAGGAGCTCGACGAGGAAACAAGACGGAGGTAGAAGGGC